ATAGCAAGAAACAAAACAGTGGAATCTATTAAAAATGTTAAACCATTGCTTTCCACTCTACTTTTAAACCAATTTAAAGAATTACTGTTTTTATAATATATAAAATCAAGTTAATGCATGGAATGGTTGTAAGCAAACAGTTCGTGGTTAAATACATAACCTTAGAAGCAGCTTCTTTAAACTATCGCTTATTAATTACTTCTTCTTTTAGTTTTGCTGCAAGGATTCGCTTCTTTAACAATCTTTGTTCCTCTTCTTCTGACATTGCCTGAAAAGAAAAGAAAAATTAGCTTGCAGTAATTATGGCTAACTACATTTATGTTTAGTATCCCCACTGATTTCAATGAAGTTTCCACTCAAGATAAATTGGATTGTTGGCACTTTGTAGAACAAGTAAATAACTGCTAGTTTCTATTTGTACACTAAAACAAAAATAAAATTGTCACCACTTTGTAGGTTAGATTAAAGCAATAGATAAACTGCTCCTTCACATATTAGAAAGGGCAAACTGTAACTGTTTTGGACAGAAATATATGTGATTGTGATTTCAGTTCTTATTTGTACAGTATTTATGCCTAATCTTTAAAGCATTCCCTTATAATAGTGCTTTCTGATTTATATGCTGTGAAAATTCATTACACCTTTAACACATTGCCAATGAAGATTGTCAATGACTTCAATGGGTGAGTAAAAATGTTCAATATCCTCTCTCAACTGGCCTAAAAAATGCTAGGAGGCTATCGCTTTCAGACACTTTTTTCTTACTTTTAACAGAAAAAAAAATCACACTGGCGTAAGATAACTGTATGCCACTGTGGGCAGAGTCAAAGGAGCCCTAGACCTATCCCTATTTAGTCAAAGGCAGGGCATCAAATGAACAAAATAAATTTCTAAGGTTGCCCATTTTTTCCCCTAGGGTCACTGGACTTTGATGGTATTTTGGCAAGAGTTTAACACTCAAGCACAATACAGCTTGGAATTAGTTTTGCCATGAGCTGCTCAGGAACTGAATTAACTTTTTCTAGCCACAGTCATACCCACTGATGAGATTTAGCTGTTTTCACTATCTCCTGTAAACAAGGCCTTTAAATAGATTAACTTGTTTGTCTTAGTAAAAGTATTTCCTTGAGACTATGGTGTACATTTTCAGATTAGAATGTTTTTTCCAAAGTAGACTGAACTTTAAAGACAGATGGTTACAGACAGACAATTTTAATTTTATTATCCTTCACCTCTTTAGAAGTGGATATCTCTTCTTTCTGTTCTATATTTTGTGATGGGATACTTGTTTTTGATTTCTTCTTCAAAGCCATCAGTGCATCTCGTTTCTGCTTTAGATAGTCCTCACGTTCTCTCAGCTCTTTTGCTCCAAGTTCTGATAATTTCTATTTGAATTTAAAAATCAGATTTTATATATAGTTTCTGAAAAACATTTTTATCAGATACAGTTGCTACAGTCCCAATAACAAATTATAAAACAAAAGAGAAAAAAATACAACATTGTGCAGAACTGTTCAAAACCTTCCCAAATTCCATCTAGGTCACAAAACATGGGTAGCAGCTACTGAAGAAAGTACATTCTATCATGCTCTTTCTGCTGAAAATGAGACTGAAAAACAAAGTGAGTTTAGAAAAAATGGGAGTAGGAGCAACTTGCAACTTCCTGCCAAACTCCCTATTTACTCTGCATCTGAGAGCCATCATGAAACACAGGAAAATGTGGTCCTATGTTTGCAGCTTGCTGTGATATTGGAATTAAAATGAACACACAAAGCTCAACATATGAAATATCAAACAATTAAAAATGGACATCTTAGGCATCAGAGAATTAAGATTGATTGGAATTGATCTTTCAGTTAAAAAACCACATTCATAACAAAAAGTAAAGAAAGACTGCATTGCTCTTAGTTGAGGTAAAGTAAGAACTTTGCTACAATGCAAATTAATTGATATTTATTACTTCCAACCACTAATGCAGGAGTAATTTACATGATCAAGTTCAATTTGAAATTGTCAGAACATGAAAGCAAGATACAAATAAAACATGCTGCTGTGACTGGAGACTGGAACTTTAGTTGGCTTAGGAAACGGAAATGAAGCACAAGACCGTCTTACTAATTTATGCAGCTCTGTTGATTTCTTTGTAGGTAACACTCTTCAAAAATGATGTCCTACACATGGGCATTAGATGGGAGTACATAAAAATCAAATCAAATCATTGCAAAAAGGAAATGGAAGAGTCATTTACAGCATCAAATTTATGACCAGATGTTGACTGTGAACAGATCACAAACTGCTCATATGTAAATTCCAAGTTAAAATGAAAAAGAAAGAATAACATCAGGGATCACTTTGAAGTCCTAAAGGTCATTGATAGAGAGCCAAAGGAATTATGGAATAAACTTAAATAATTTGTTAAGTAGAATGTGAAAAGAGACTGCCAAAAATGAAGAAGAAAAAGAAAGCAATTGGATGTTGGAATTAATCAATGAAATTGCCAAGAAGAAAAGTCAAAACCAAGAAAGTAAAAAAAAAATTGGAGAAAGGTACTAAACAGTTTCAGAGAAGTGTTAGAAGAGATAAGTAGTTATTACAACACCTAAAGACACAGAAGATAGAAATAGACATGGAAAAACAAAAAAAGATCTCTGAACTTAGAAGAAAATGCCAACTTTGAATTGGTATGTCAAACAATGCCAAGGGAAACATAGCAATGGATTTAAAAG